GCTCCGCAGGGGAGGAGCGGGACCCCCGCCCCGCTGTCGGGGTCTGCGGCAGAGGACGGAGCGGGGGGACGAGAGCAGGGAGGCGCTGGGCGCCTGTGGGCACTCGTGCCAAAAGGAGAGCGAGCAAATGAAAGGAAAACTTCGCTGCTCTTATGCCGCCGCCTTTTCTCTTTTTTCTTTTTTTTTTTTTTTTAGGTGGAAAAAATAATGGAGCTTTTTTTCTGTCTAGACCCCTGGTTTTGGTGCCTTTGGATTTTTCTTTCCAAGCCTTGGAAGTTCCCCACAGCAGCTGCCAGAGGTCTGGGAATATTGCAGTTAATAATTAAAAGATATATATAATAAATGATAGGTAATGAAATCATCCAACAGGAGCTGTGTATCAGAGAAGGGAGCTTCTAGTTTTACATGTGGCTTTGCAGAGACATTCCTTGTCACGGGGAATGGTTGGAGCTCAGATAATTTAAAAATGTTAATTGGTAATATGAAAAAAAAAAATTGATTTTTAAGGTGAACTTTGTGTCTCTGTGTGCAAACACACACGTTTGCTCCAAGGCAAGAGTTTTCCCTGCTTCCACCCAGGTTTACTTTCTTACTTTATTACTACATCCCCTGTCCCCGAGCTCGCCTGTCTGGGGGTGAAAGACACCAAATTGCTGCAGAGTAACGGTGATTTCTGAAGCATGACTGTGAGCTCCTTAGCATCAACCACAGACCCAGAAGAGCAAGCAAAGACCATTGAAAACACATACATATACATACATATATATATAAAAACTTCCCTGCATGGGCACGTGCAACGTTGTGCGTGCCTGCGCGTGCCTGGTGTGTGCATGTTTGGGAGAGCGTGGAGTTCTGTAAATAAAGTACTCTTTGAGAGATCTCTTTGCAGATCAATGGCAAAGAGACTTCACCTGCATTTCAGAATGCTCATTCCTTTAGTTTTCAGTAAGTCTTCTACTTCCCTTTACTTTCCCTCCACGTATTCCCATCCTTCCTCTGAGTCTGCAGGCTTGTGCTTCACGTTGTTTACCCTTGGCTTTTTGCGACCTCTGCTTTTGCTCTTGCTTGTCTGTCTTTTCTCCTTCCTTGCCTCGCCTCCTTCTTCTCCCTGAATTATCCCCAAAATTTGATTCCTCCTTTCGTCCATCCTTTAGCTTTTTGACTTCATAAATCCAAGTAAAAAAGTAAAGAAAACAGAATAGTATTTCCATTCCATAATGTCTGGCTGGTTCTTCACCACTAGGAGCAAGTGAACTTCAAGACAGGTAAGGCAGTTAATTTAATGACGCATACTCGTGCAAATTCATGCCAAATATGTATAAAAGATCAGGATTTTAGACGTATGTCCATTATAGTGGCATAGCAAGTTACTGCCCACCAACTGAGCTAAGGAATATGCTTTCATCTTTTTCAAGTGTAATAGTAGCATGTTAACTGAAATTTGAGAGTCCACAAGGAACCATTTCATACAGTGGTCTAATGTGATCTGACCAAGAGCCTCGCCCAGCAGTTCATGCATCCAGTCTGTAATTTCTGTTGGAATTGGAACATACATTTTAGTGAAACAGCCAATCTGGATTTAAAGACTTCAAGGGACAGGAAATCTATCACTTTCCTGGGTAAGTTGTTCCAGTTGTTACCTACTCTCATTTTTTAAAACCTGTGTTTGTCTGGCTTTGGCTTCTGATGTTGGCTGTCAGAGATGAACCCAGTATCCCTGTAACGGTATCACTCAGTGCTATTCCAGGAAATAATCCCATCCTCTACTTGACACTCCCCTGCTTAGACATCTCCGGATCGTTTTCTCAGCTATGGAAAGCAGAGGAAAGAAAGGGGACGAGGCCACCATAGCAATTTTGTTTAAAAGACACAAGGGAAAAAAAGAGTTGCGGAGTCAAAGGGGAAAAATCTCATTTCAGTAAATTTTGAGAAGTGAATGGCAGATGATCAAGTTGGTCACAACGTTTATCTTACAGAAAAATTGGAACAGGAAAGGTAACAGGGATGTAATCAAGATTAAGGCTGAAAGGGAAGAAAGGTGAGATTAAGTTTTTAGACTCACTGCTGCTCTGGTAGGTTAACCTTGGCTGACTGCCGAGTGCCCACCAAGCTGCTCTCTCACTCCCAAGACGGGGTGAAAATAAGATGAAAAAGCTCATGGGTTGTGATAAAGGCAGGGAGATCACTCACTAGCTACTATCATGGGCAAAACAGACTCAACTTGGGGAAAATTAATTTAATTTATCGCCCATTAAGAATACAGTAGGATGGTGAGAGACAAAGACAAAACTATAAAACACCCCCCCATGCACACACCTCTTCCCAGGCTCAACTTCACTCCTTCTTTCACGATGACTCTTCCTCCTACCCCTGAGCAGCGCAAGGGGGCGAGGAATGGGGGTTCTGGTCAGCCTATAACACTTTGTCCCTGCTGCTCCTTTTCCCCTGCTCCAGTGCGGGTCCTTCCCACAGGGTATAGTCCTTCGGGAACAGATGGCTCCAGCGTAGGCTCTCCATGGGCCACATTTCCTGCCAGAAAACCTGCTCCTGTGTGGGCTCCCCTCCATGGGCCACAGCTCCTGCCAGGAGCCTGCTCCACCATGGGCTCTCCATGGCCTGCAGCTTCCTTCAGGCATCTCCACCTACTCTGCTGTGGGACCCTCCACGGGCTGCAGTGTTGATATCTGCTCTGATGTGGTCCTCCATGGACTGCAGGGGGACAACCTGCTTCACCACGGTCTTCTCCACAGGCTGCAGGGGAATTTCTGCTCAGACACCTGGAGCACCTCCTCCCCTTCCTTCTTCACTGATCTTCATGTCTGCAGGCCTATTTCTTTCCCATTTTTCTCACTCCTCTCTCATGCAGTTGCTGTGTAGCATTTTTTTTACCCTTTTTTAAATATGTTATCACAGAGGTCCCACCAGCATCACAGATGGGCTCAGCTTTGGGCAGTGTTGGGTCTGTTTTGGAGCCAGATGAAACTGGCTCTCTCCAATATGGTTGCAGCTTCTGGTGTCTTCTCACAGAGGCCACCCCTGCAGCACCAACCTTGCCACATAAAGCCAATACAGCTGTACGCTGCCAAGCAAGAGGAGACCAGGAGGGAGAGTCTGTGTTTTCCTGGTGGCTGCTGGAGAGATGGTGCATGAAGCCACTTTTGATCTGCGGTCCCTGGCTCCCCCTTGTTCCCCTCGGGCAGACTGTGAAGGTTGTGGTGGGTGATTAAGGGAAGGAGGAACAGATCTCTGAGTTCCACAACAAAATATGAGAGAAATTAAGAAATTATTGAAAAATGTATTCTTGAATGTATAAAGTGTATGGAGGGGATAGACTAGAGGGGGTCTGGGGTCTGTTGGTTGCTGGTGATGAATGCTTGCTTTGCCTTAGGGCACGTAATGGCTGGTGTGGGCCTTGCCTGGAGGCCACCACTAGAGAAGACTCCCTCATTAGAACATCAGCTGAGAGGCTAACTATCTGCTGCAGCACCCAAATGAATGTCATGGTTTAACCTTTCAGGCAGCTGAACACCACAGAGCCGCTCGCTCACTGCCCCCCTCCCTCAGTGGGATGGGGAGAGAATCAGAAAAAAAAAAGTAAAACCATGGGTTGAGATAAAGATAGTTTAATAAAATAAAATAATAATAATAATAATGGTAATAGAATATACAAAACAAGTGATGCACAATGCAATTGCTTACCACCCACTGACTGATGCCCAGCCCGTCCCGAGTAGCGATCGCCCTCCCCCCAGCCAGTCACCCCCTGAGCATGGTGCCATATGGTCTGGCATAGCCCTGGGGCCAGTTGGGGTCAGCTGTCCTGGCTGTGCCCCCTCCCAGCTTCTTGTGCACCTGGCAGAGCAGGGGACGCTGAAAAAGTCCTTGGCTGGTGTAAGCACTGCTCAGCAACAACTGAAACATCAGGGTGTTATCAACATTGTCCTCACACTAAATCCAAAACACAGCACTATGCCAGCTACTAGGAAAAAAATTAACTCTATCCCAGCTGAAATCAGGGCAATGAACCCTGCTGCAGAAGACACATTAATATGATGGTTTTTTCCCTCTGACAAGGATTGGAAACCTTTGGCTGTTTCCTTGATCTTGTGCTAGGACTAAATACATTTTTGAAAAGAGCCTGCAGGAACCAGAAGAATATGAGAAGATCTGTGCTCCAGAAGAAATGGAAGGCTCTATGTTAGCCAGGAGGAATAAAGCTGCAGAGAAAACAGCAGA